TTTTCTTCCAGACGTGCCTTTTCCTCAAGGGGAGATCTTATTGAAAGTGTTTTCACATTTTGCTAGATCTCACATCCAGTTTCTATCACAGTAACAAGTCATTGAAGTAACTGTGCCAAATTCCCATGCGACCCATTTTTCTCACGTATACCTTTTAAACAGTTTTTGTAAGAGAAAAGAAGCACAATCCAGTAGTGCAGCCCTGAATGCACAGACAAGTTTGATCTTCCCACGCCTTTCATAGATACAAGCCGATGAGTCACATATTTAAATAATCTGATCCGTTCACAGATGCGCTGCACCTTTTTTGCACCAGCTTCCATCACTAATGGCTTGTATACATGGTTTTCCCCACAAGCATCTGGCAGCTGCATAGCCTCAAAGACTGTCATAAACCTAGCATGGATTTCACCCCCTCTTTTATTATCACAACAATAAGATAACTCATAGTTGACAGGATTGTAATGGGTATCTATCAAACATCTTGAGGTTGCTCGTTTAGTGAGTTCTTGCACTTCATCAGTTATCTGCAATGTTCCTGACACAGAGTAAAAGACCCAGTGGACTTTATACTGGAAGATGTCAGAACAAGTCCAGTAAATGTCCCGGAGTGCCCTAGTTATTCCAGGCTGGCGATTCAAGAGTGTGAGGTAGAGTCTCAGCAGTAAATTATTCACCGCTGCCTTCTCCGGGCACAGTGCGACTTTAACATGCATGTAAAACGGCCGTGAACATGTTGCCTCCATTGATGTACCATTGATACAGCGCGGTTCAACTCTCTTCTGCCCTCTCAGATATGTTTTACAGATGTATAACATCCACATGCTGCAAAACTAGCTAAAAAGAACACATCCATCAAGCAGACTTTCAGCTGACCAGCCGCACAGAGCTGTCTTGTCGTGAAGGCTATTTGCACTTTCAGGTTTGAATGCTTCAGTTTATCAACAGTATCAATGTGATATAGCTTAAGTCTTTAGCAATTTCACGCTTCATCACTTCATTGATCAATAAACCTCAAGGCTAAAGGTGCTGGAGGCCTTTCAGATTGCGGGCTGGGGGCCACATGCGAGTCATATTTCTATGAAGTCCTTAATAATTTGTCAAAATTCTCAGCCTTCTTAACATTTGGTCCAGTTTTGATTCAATCCAAGCTAAACAAAAATAATACCAAAACCCATTATAAATAAAGTAGGAATTTGAACAAATACCTTCATATTGTAAAAAAGTTCAAAATAAACAATAGTGAAACAAACTTGACACAAACACAGAAAACCAAGGATATTTTGGCTCCATCTTTGCCTTCCCAGTTTAGTCGCTTTAAGAAAAAAAGCATATGCTTTGTTTCCGACCCTCAATGACGATATCCCAGTGTAGTCAGTGTGGCTGCAGGGAGGTAATAATTGCCCACCTCTGACCCTGACTATTTTAAATGCCATACTAAATGTCATACTTTACGTAAAAGGAGGATTGTGTCTCAACAGAACACATGTTTTATTGTTGGTACACAGCAACATGACCAGCATTTTAATAGTATTCACATGGCTTTACACCAAGGCAGAATACTGAAGCTCCCTTAAAGTAGCAATATGTAAGATTTGCATGTTACAGGCATGTTTGCCTTGCAAAAGTATTCACACCCTTGGTTTTTTCCCTATTTTGTTACATTACAGCCTTTAGTTCAATGTTTTTTTTATCTGAATTACATGTGATGGCTCAGAAAACCATAGTCTAAGTTGGTGAAGTTAACTATTTTTCAGAAATAAAAAACTGGAAATTGGCATGTGCATATGTATTCACCCCCTTTGTTATGTAGCCCATAAAAAGCTCTGGTGCAACCAATTACCTTCAGAAGTCACATAATTAGTGAAATGATGTCCACCTGTGTGCAATCTAAGTGTCACATGATCTGTCAGTACATATACACACCTCAGAGGCTGCAACACCATGAAGACCAAGGAACTCTCCAAACAAGTAAGGGACAGTGTTGTTGAGAAGTACAAGTCAGGGTTAGGTTATAAAAAAATATCCAAATCTTTGATGATCCCCAGGAGCACCATCAAATCTATCATAAGCAAATGGAAAGAATATGGCACAACAGCAAACCTGCCAAGAGACGGCCGCCCACCAAAACTCACGGACCGGGCAAGGAGGGCATTAATCAGAGAGGCAGCACAGAGACCTAAGGTAACCCTGGAGGAGCTGCAGAGTTCCACAGCAGAGACTGGAGTATCTGTACATAGGACGACAATAAGCCGTACGCTCCATAGAGTTGGGCTTTATGGCAGAGTGGCCAGAAGAAAGCCATTAATTTAAGCAAAAAACAAAATTTCACGTTTTGAGTTTGCGAAAAGGCATGTAGAAGTCTCCCAAAATGTATGGAGGAAGGTGCTCTGGTCTGATGAGACTAAAATGGAACTTTTCGGCCATCAAGGCACACGCTATGTCTGGCACAAACCCAACACATCACATAATCCAAAGAACACCATCCCCACAGTGAAACATGGTGGTGGCAGCATCAGGCTGTGGGGATGTTTTTCAGGAGCCGGGACTGGGAAACTGGTCAGAGTTGAGGGAAAGATGGATGGTGCTAAATACAGGGATATTCTTTAGCAAAAGCTGTACCACTCTGTGCGTGATTTGAGGCTAGGACGGAGGTTCACCTTCCAGCAGGACAATGACCCCAAACACACCGCTAAAGCAACACTTCAGTGGTTTAAGGGGAAACATGTAAATGTGTTGGAATGGCCTAGTCAGAGCCCAGACCTCAATCCAATAGAAAATCTGTGGTCAGACTTAAAGATTGCTGTTCACAAGAGCAAACCATCCAACTGAAGGAGCTGGAGCAGTTTTGCAAGGAGGAATGGGCAAACATCCCAGTGGTAAGATGTGGCAAGCTCATAGAGAGTTATCCCAAGCGACTTGGAGCTGGGATTGTCGTTGTTTGCTTCACAATAAAAAAAAAAGACAACATCTTCAAAGTTGTGGGCATGTTCTGTAAATTAACTGATGCAAATCCTCAAACAATCCATGTTTTTTCCAGGTTGTGAGGCAACAAAACACACATTATGCCAAGGGAGGTGAATACTTTTGCAAGGCACTGTAAGTCATCATTAAATGGCCCTAATATGTCAAAAGGCATTAATAAACCATGGTTAATGTTAATCTCAATTGGAGCATAATTGGGTATAAAGATTAGTTTTCAGGTTGCTTTTCCTCTTGTAGGTTGTATATAATATTCACAATTTTTTTTTTTAAAGAATAATGACTTTTCAGTTAGCCAACAGAGAGCTGTGACTGTACATTTACATACAGTATTCTATTTGAAATTTCATATTGAGTTTGGGCCCACATTTTAACTGGTCTAAAATTTTCTCTCAACTGCCTTTTATTTTTACCCAGAAATGGCAATGTGGTTTTCTGGAACTCCGAGACAGAGCTTGGAGTTCCAGTAAACAATTCTATTCTATTCCACCCGCTGATAACTGGACCATTCTGTAGCCAATCCACCATTTTTGCTTGATGCACAAATAAGATACAACTTGTTATTTTCACCTCTGTTTTGATTTTCTTTATCTCAGTGCTCTCTTTTAGGTCTGATGCTTCCAATTTGTTTTTGTGTCTGCCACTGTTGTAACAATGCTGTGACTTTCAAAGACTCATTGCCTCCCATAGCATTCACAGCACAAACTGTAAACTATCTCATATTTCTTTGCTATAGGAAGATATAGACCCTCCATGTCGTTACACGTTCGTTTTAATAGTGCATTATGCAATATTTTATTTGGTTATTTTTTGTGACCTTGTGGCTGTAAGAGTGGGCCCCATGACACCTTTATTGTGTTTACACTGCTTCAGGATCAATGGTTTTGTAGGTTTTGTGGTGTAGGGGTCCGTCAACACAGAGAAACCTTCCAAACAATCTTATACCATTTTTAAGCTCTCTGTGGGAAAAGGCAATCATGCAACCATTGGGGCACTGCAAGGTCACATACAGTAGTGACCTTGCAGTATACAAGTTCACGTACAAAGTTGCATAAGTCCCCCTTAAAATGCTTAAATGCAACAGCCAGCTTTATTGTGTCCCTATATAACCTTTTATGATTCCAGGCAGTCATCTGGATGCGAACCAAAATCTATTTCATCTCATTTACTGGCCATATATTTCAACGATTCAGTAGGGGAAACTTAACAAAAACAAAAGATTAGGCGACGCAGTTATTTATTTAGTAAACTGGTTAGGCTGAATTGGCGTCAGTACAATCAGTGTCCCACTTTCAGAAAAGCTGTTTCTTTAGCCTGAAACTGAAAGTGTTTTCTACTTCAGTGGGAAGAGCTTGGAAATGAGATAATTAGCACAGCGCGCATCGCATGTTAAACGAGTGTAGCGCATTAATGAAGTCTTCACCGGGCCCCAGACTAAAGCAAGACAAAAAAACTGCTGCTGCTGTAATGTAATTCAAGCGAAAACGCAACAATTGGTGTTTATTGGTCACTTTAAAAGCGCCTTTGCTCTTAATACTTCTTCTATTATGTTTGCCCTTAAGAAGACGCGCGCCGTTCGCTCAGAGGGACCACGGTCAAAGAGATTTGGCACAAGGCCCAAGGATTTAGATTCATTTTTGTATTCATTTTTTTTTATTCTTTGTGTGGATATAATAGTCATGTGACGTGGAGGTGCTACTGGTGACTGATGACGTTGGCTAACTGCAGCTATTGCCAAAGTGTGCGTGAGGAGAGACCAGCCAAGACGCGCTCCATACGGCAGATTTGGGGAGGGCGCTTCATGAGTGGGTGGGGTATGGAGGTAGGACAGGGCGAAAAAGAGAGAGAGGGAGAGATCCTGTGCAGAGTTGGTCAGGGGACGTTGAGCGCGGTCACAGTAGCTCCAGTAGGGAAAGAGGTGGGGGTCCCGTAGCAGAGGTATAGAGGCGTATGCACCAAACCGGCTTTAGGGATGTAGTCGACGCGGTTTCGAGCTCTGCCCATCCGAGCTCAGCACAATGAAGAAACACTCTGCCAGGGTCGCCCCGCTGTCCGCCTGCAACAGCCCGGTCCTCACCCTCACCAAAGTGGAAGGTAGGGGACATCACTGCCACACGCCACTTCAACCTTCTACTCAGTCTTTACGCGTAAAACATAGACATCAGCTCATGCAGACTTCAGTTCAGCCGCAAAGCAACTTTTCACAGCCCCAAGTCCAATCTGACAATCAATTTGGCGCATAACTTGACTTGAAATGCTGGCAGCCCAACACTAAAATACCGCATTGATTTCAACCCCCCTTCTTCGCATGCAGTTATTTTAAAAAGCTGTTATCAACTTGTGATCAAACAAAGCTCACACTGCTATCCTTTTACTGCATGCATTCTTGTCGTGTCGTGCGTCTGGCGCTAAAATTAACATTCCCAGTGGAAGCGTTTTAAGTTGATGTTGCTGCAGGGATTCCCTCACATCCTCCCATATCATCGTACTGGTAACAATAGGACTGCTGACTGAGATTGTGGGACAAGAACCTAAATATAATCCATTACAGTTCTTTTTACGCTCGTTCAACCTCTGACTGATCTTCACTCTGCTCCAATGGTTTTTATGAGAGTTCATCAATTTCCTGTCCAAGGATTCAATTAGGAACACGGCCATTCCCTGTCAGGCTCTGGACATGGGCAAGTGGATGTGTGACCCTCTGATGTATTTTGACCTGCTGTTTATCTGCGAGTGGTAACTGTTTTATCATAGTTGATCTGTACAAGCAGCCACTTCCCCTGGTACTGCTGCTCTATGACCTATTGTTTTGAGTAACTTATCCAGGAAAATCATTTACAAACACCGTTAGGTGTTTAAATCTGTCAAAGGAAGAAATATATATCTATATATTCATATTGTGCTGGAAAGAAAACATTGTCGCCATCTGATCAGGGAAGACAAAATTAGTGGTATATGTTCAAACCGCTATCGGAATAACCATAGTAAAACAGAGATTTAAAAGTTTATTTGGAAGTTATTATGAAAGGGTACAATATGCATTTGCATTATTCACACTTTGTAATGTTTGATTATAGGATAAGGAATATAACAAGGGCAGGTTACTGTAATCGTAAAACATGATCTGAATTAATAATCTCAATACCTAAATGACATGCCACTTAAACAATTGATTCTTGAGTTTACATTCAGTTTTGATTGATTTGTATTAAACTACTATTTCATAATATATACAATATGCTAATATGCTAATATACTACACTAATATATTGAAAACTGTACATATTGTTAGAATGCAATGTTTTCAGTGAGAAGCATCAGCAGACTTTATTCGTGGGCAACATAATCAGCGATGACATGAGGGGCATATGGTGGGGTTTGTAAATCAGTGTGTATTTGTGTAGCTTATAGTATTGTAAATATTGTGCCTCCAGTCGACCTCAGGCTTCCTATTCCAGCAGATGCTTTGAAGGAATCACAGGAGGCCACAGAGGATCAACACCATAGAGTTTTTCACAAATTTGGCTGCCCATGTAACTGCAGCTCAAAGCCCCTGTTCTCTCTGCTAACAAGTTGCAAAAAAATGTCTCATTTTTTGTGTTCATGCAAAAAGACTTATACTAGTCATGATGTACCATTTTTATACTCATTAAAACACATTTGGAAAAGTCGACCACATCTGGTATCCCAGGAGGTAACGGGAGCTTAGCCAAAAGCACAAACATATATTTATACATGTGTTGTAATTAGCCCTAATGAAAAAAACATATATTTGTCTTCAATGAATCTAACAAATCAATCATGTTTTAAGTAATAAAAAATGGAAATGTCTGAAGAGAGCCATACTTTTGACATTGAACTTGTTGCCCTAATGCCCAGTTGTTATTAACAAAGCTAGTAGTGAGAACCTATCTATATTTTGAGAACCAGGATGTACCGATACCAGGCAGTCAAAGGACTCTTTATCTCAAAACGAGTCCATCTGTGGTTGTTTTTGTTTTACTTTTTTTTTAATCCAGCATTTGACTATAGGGCATGTGCTGGATGTCCTGTTATCTGTTGTATGAGTAAAAGTTCAAATTCTTGGATCTTCTGAGATAAAATCATCCCAGAAGCCCCAACCCCTTACTCCATCAATTGAAAGCTCCAGTCAGGATAACAGCCCTATCGGTTATCATAGGTCTGATACCCGCTCAAGAGCGGATGCTTGAAAGTACAATTGACATAGTTAGTAGATTAAAAGCGCTTTTCATTATCTCTTTTATCTCTTATGCAAGATATGATTTTGGTTCTGTAATCATATATCTGCTGCATTATCATATAGCCAGTAGTCAATGCTGTTTCTGTGGTTTATTCATGCAGGCAGTGGGCCATGTCTGATGACCATTGATTTCCACCTAGTATAAGTGCTGTCTTTGGAGGTTTCTTTGGAGTTTGTGTACATATACTTTGCCCCTGCAGCTTGATGAGTACAGCTGGGTTCGTGATCCAGCTATAGAGCATGTCTATAATGGAGCAGTGTGTTGTCAGTGACTCAGCAGTCCACCTATACTCTCCCAAATAGAAGGCCATATTTCACACGTGGCTGTCATCCCTTTGTTTAACCGTTGGCTTCACGCTCCTTGAACACATGTAACGTGCAATGAATGACAAAATAATATCTAGAAACAACAGGAGTTCTTTGTAAACATATTTTCTTTTAAAGGACGCCCTAACACATTCAGAGTTAATCTGAAATTCTGAGTGTGCTGCATTTGCAATGATGAGATGCGGCAGATTCACACCGAACAAGGGTCACTTCCAGCTCAAAACTATGATGTAAGTTCCCTTTTAATTCCCAAACTTTAAATTGTGTTAAATGGAAAATAACATAGACATTTTTAATGTATTTTTTATAGATTTTTGTAGTAGTTTTACCATTTACTCATTAAAATTATCCATTCATTATCATCGCCTTTAATGATTCAATTTCTGAGTCGGGGGTTGGCACTCAGAGGTCAATCGGCTATATAAATAAAGATTTCTTACTCTCCTGGTCAAAGTAAGTTAAACAAAATAAATATACACATTTACTTACCTTGTCCGGTAAGTAAATGGACATGCTTTTGCATTTATTTTCTGGGTCGGGGGGTGGCAGTCAGAGCTGCACCCAGTACACAGAGCACCAGCCCCTCACTGATCCCCCTGCAGGTGGTGAGTCCACACAGGAGCTGAGATCTTTCAGCGGGAGCTTCAGGCAAAGTGGGGTTAAGTGTCTTGCCCAAGGACACAACGACAGGAGTCATCAGTGGGAGTCGTGAAGTGGGTCTCGTGGTGGGCTCGAACCCACGACCTTCAGGCTCAAAGGCCAATGCTCTACCAACTGAACCACTGTTGCCCCACCATTAAAACTAGTGTTGGTGTCGAATCCATTTGAAACTAATTGCAAACTTTAACAATGGCTGCACATTTGTTTCATTTTCTCACGGCTCCTGATTGAATGTTAGAATTGGGTAGAATATGAATCTCCTAGAAGAAGAAATTTTGTGCAGAAATTGAGAGAAAAAGATATACAAATGTGGACTAAGAAATACTTGGCAATCCAAAAAGTAAACAAGTTAAACATGAATTCTGCTTAAAGCTGTGTGCAAAAAAAGTCAATTACAACACGCCTGTATCTGTTTGTTTTATTTTGGCGACACCATAATTGTAAATAGAGAGGAATAGGTTTGCTGGCCAGGACAATGAGTGAACTTCAAAGTGTCATGCCGTTTTAATAACAAATATTATTAGGATGTTTTGTGTGAAATGTCTTTCTTTCTAAATCCTTCTAAAAGTCACAAACTGTAGCTTTAAATATCTTTGTCTACCTTTTAGGCAGCGCTCATAAATGTCTTTATTCATGGTTGAACTTATGGTGAGCCTGAATGAAATGGACAGGAGCAAAAATGTGGTTAGTTTCCAATTTCTATAGAAGCAGCAATGAGTGCACAGCTTGATCTATGTGTTCTAAATGCAAAATGACAGGTCCGTTATTTTATTAAAAGCTTGTGCGTGTGTGTCTAGGTGTGTATGTAGGAAGAGGACGTTATCCCACAAAAGTTATATCACATTCATGGCAGAAGGTATCGATCACGATTCAAATACTATCTACAATGAGCCAAGATTTTTTTTTAAATGTTTTTATGTACTTTTAGGCTATTGCCCTAGTAAATTGTTGTTGCTTGGTGATCAGTGTGGACAATGTGTCAACAAAACATGTTATAGCTTTAGATGAAGTCACTGAGTTTGCACTTCAGTTCTTCTAACTGCAATGAACTTTTGCTCCCATTTATAAAAAACTAGCTGTCATCAAAGACCAGCTGCTCTATGAATAATTACAAGTAATGAAGACTTTTGCTATAGTTCATGAAAAGGACATCTGTTTAGTTCTATTGTTTGCCATGGATGGTGTGGAGTCTTTATGTAGGTATTGATTTGTTTGTAAAAAGTGCTGGACTCCATCCAGTCTGCTTCGAGGTGTGCAAGCAGTATGTGTCCGGGCTGAGGAGCTTGTGTCAAATGTGGATTGTTACTGTGTGGTTCAAAGAGGAGAGACAGCAGTGCTGTGTCGCTAACTGTGCCTCTGACCTGTTCCAAGAGCATGTGTTGAGACAGTGTCAGGGTCACAGTCTGTCGTGTGACTCAGTCTGAGGCTGAAGGAGAGAGAGCAGATCAGTAACACGCCCGTCCTTGTCTGGCCTCTCAGGACATAAGCCCATGTGGCTCCACCTCTCCTGCGTTTCACCTGCTCTGTGTGTTATGGACTGAGACAGTTTGTCAGAGGAGCTGCTCTGTTTAAAGGGTTGAGACTGACAGACTGAGCTGTCACTACCCAGTATCAAACACTTTGTGCAAAAGAGATTAGAGTGCTGTCTGGGCATCTCATACAACACACATTACTCCAATGGGACATAGAGGTGCTTGTGTAGTTTAAAGCAAAGAAACCAATGTATCCTTTAAGAAAATTCAACCCTCAAGAGGTTTTTTAAGATGTCATGCATTTAAAGAAAACCAAGTGCAACTTTAATCAGGTTTGATGGGAGTATGGTACGACAAGGTGGACTCATTCATAT